CATCAATGGTTCGGTAACCTAGTTTCACCAAATTTTTGGAATTTTATATGGTTAAACGAAGGTTTCGCTACTCTTTTCGAAAACATTGGCACTGATTTGGTAGGACAAGTTTCAAACCGAAATATTCGAAATTCATTTTCAGCGAATCAAATTATGTTTTAGGTTCATCCGGAATTTCATAGTTTTGACAGTTTTGTGACTTTCGATTTGCAAAGTGTTCTTAAAGTTGATGACAAAATTGATGGAACACATCCAATGACATACTATGTTGAAGATCCAAAAGCAGTTGCAGAGCTATTTGATCGCATTACATACCAAAAATGTAAGAATTCATTGGAATAATTACCAATATTACTTTCATATGGGGAAAAATAGAAACAATTTAAGTTATTAATGTGCGAGTTCAGGGCAGGGTAATTTCAAAAATGAAAGGCAAGAAGATCTCAAATTCACTTAAAAAGTTATCTTTTAAATTTAGAAAAAAATTGAAAATTTCGGATGCCCATAATTGCCATTATTTATCTGTTTTACATAGCTGGATCGGTTCTTCGGATGTTTATGCATGCTTTAGGTGAACAGAGTTTCAAAAAGGGACTTAACTACTACCTAAATAAGAAGTAAATTCCACAAAACTTTGACAGAAAAATATATTCAACTACATGAATTTCAAACATTTCCAGATCTTTCCAAACAGCCATTGATAAAGATCTATTCGAGAGTTTGGATCGTGCTGCTAAAGAGGACAATACCTTGGACAAACATTTAAATGTAACAGATATTTTTGGTTCGTGGTCCAATCAAGCTGGATTTCCATTGCTCATTGTCAAACGAAACTATGAAAGTGACTCTATAGAAATTTCACAAGAAAGATATTTGGAAAAATATCCATGTCCAGAAGCAAATTTTACTACTTGGTATATTCCATATAATTTTGATACATCCAATAATGTCAACGTCAATGACACATCTGTAGATGGTTGGTTACCGAAAGGCGTTAAATCGATGGTTATTAATCCAAACAAAAAAACATAATTGGACCAATGGATATTGGGTGTTGTTCAATAAGCAACAAACTGGATTTTATCGTGTTTTGTACGATGAAAGAAACTATAAATTGATAATGAATGAATTGAAATCCGGCGATATCAATAAAATCCATCCAATTAGCCGAGCACAATTACTTGATGATTTAAGTGATTTTGTTTTTACCAAACGATTACCGGTAACCATGTACTTTGATCTAATTCAATACTTGAAACATGAAACTGAATTTGCTCCATGGTCGTCGGCAATGCGATCTCTGTTCAAAATAAAGCATATATTGGTTGAAGGAAGTAAAGCATACGAAAAGTTTAGAACATTTGTTGCTGATGTTGTTGAACCATTCTATGAACACCATGCATTAGTCGATGCCAATGAAAATGAACCATTTGACAAAAATCTAATACGAGAAATTGCAGTTAAATTAGCTTGTGAATTTAAGATTGAATCATGTTTACGCGATTCGAAGCAACTGCTCGAGACGGCCATTGACAGTGGATATTTTGCATCGAAAAATACTCGTGGTCTCATTTATTTATACGGTATTCGTGATGCAAACGCTAGTTTTATTGATTTGATTCGGAAACGGTTAAATTCAACAAATGACGAAGAACACGAAGAAATTTGGCAAAGTCTTAAAAACAGTGTGTCCATAATATATAGAAATATCACTAAATAGTGTCGATATCTATACTATATCGGTCCACTATATATGAAAGATATTGCCGCACGGCACCGTATCGCACGATCGAAGCCAGTGTAGACGGAAAAAATCACAAATTGCCATGCGGCAGTAGAAAGAACTGTGTGTATGCGTCAACATGTTTGCCGTCCGCACTCACTTCTATCGTGAGCTACGGTGTCTTGCGGAATATCTTACATATATAGTGGACCAATATAGTATAGATATCGACACTATTTAGTGCTATTTCTATATGTTATGGACACACTGCTTAAAAATCTCAACAGTAAAGCTATAAATTCCTTGTCATTACTTAACGGGCTTTCAACAAGAAGCCAATATGAAGATTTGCAAGCATTTAAATTGTTCAAAGACGATTTTGGCAAGGGATGCGTATTGGAAAAACATCATGATTTGTACAAGACGCTTCTCACATTGTCTAGGAATGTTTACAACAACTATACCAAAAAGCAGGTAGGAAAATATGTGTTATTTTGGACAGGCGTCTTATTTACATCTACATAAACTTATATAGAAGATTTACTGGTCTTTGTCAGTATCTATTTTAACAAAAGACAAGATATTTTCACATTCAATGACATTTTTTCAATATATTACATTGCACTGTCGTAAGAATTGGTAAATTGACATTAATTGTTAATCTATTTATTTTGGGTATTTTTTAGTTCCTTTCCATTCTAACAACGATGAAAAATGGAAAGTGTTTAAATGAAGAGCAGAGCAAACGTATCATTGACGAAACGAACAGAGCATTGGAAACATCGAAATCCATTCGAAAACTTATTATGGCAAATGTCACTGCAATATTTGAGGCTAAACATCGCAACTTTTGACCATTTAACGTATCAAATATTGGCTTAATTCAATGCAAAGCTGCAAAATTCATAGGTACACAAAATATTTGGAATTCAAAAACCCCTATAAATGCCACACAATTAAACATCCTATGTGCGAAAATTCAAACTTCAAAAAAAGAGGAAACAAAATAATTGCAAAAAACGCATTTGTTTGAATTCTGATTGGCATTCAAGTCTAAATAATAATTATTATTAAATAATAAAGAAACATTGTTTTAAAAACTGAAATGATTTCCTCAAATTTATTGAATAAATGTTCAATGAAATTTATAATGTGATTGTTTTATAATATTCAAATTAAATTGTTTGTTGATCAAATGTAATGTAGTATTTTGTTGTTGTTTTTTCGAATGATGTGAATCTTTTGTATACAAAATGCCAACTGTATATTGAGTATTCATTCTTCTATATGTCGATGTGCATCCAAATGGAAATATGTCAAGACCTATGGCAAATAAAATTGCCTTAAAAGTGACTCGAATGACCCAATAAATGGTTGATGTATAAAATTTTTGGCTGCGTTGTTATTGAGAAAGAAAAAATCAAATCTTTTTAGAATAAAATATTCAAAAAAAAAAAAAA